TTTCTTTCTTTCTTTCTTTCTTTCTTTCTTTCTTTCTTTCTGTCTTTCTAACTAATCTTTCTTCTTTCTTTCTAACTAATCTTTCTTCTTTCTTTCTAGCTAATCTTTCTTCTTTCTTTCTTTCTTTCTTTCTTTCTTTCTTTCTTTCTTTCTTTCTTTCTAACTAATCTGTCTTCTTTCTTTCTTTCTAACTAACTAATCTTTCTTCTTTCTTTCTTTTTTTCTTTCTTACTAATATTTCTTCTTTCTTTCTTTCTTTCTTTCTTTCTTTCTTTCTTTCTTTCTTTCTTTCTTTCTTTCTTTCTTTCTTTCTAACTAATCTGTCTTCTTTCTTTCTTTCTTTCTAACTAACTAATCTTTCTTTCTTTCTTTCTTTCTTTCTTTCTTTCTTTCTAAATAATTATCTTTCTTTCTTTCTAACTAATCTTTCTGTCTTTCTTTCTAACTAATCTTTCTTTTTTTCTTTCTAACTAATCTTTCTTTTTTCTTTATAACTAATCTAACTAATCTTTCTTTTTTTCTAACTAATCTTTCTTTCTTTCTTTCTTTCTTTCTTTCTTTCTTTCTTTCTTTCTTTCTTTCTTTCTAATTATCTTTCTTTCTTTCTTTCTTTCTTTCTAACTAATCTTTCTTTCTTTTTACCTAATCTTTCTTTTTTCTTTCTTTCTTTCCAACTAATCTCTTTCTTTCTTTCTTTCTTTCTTTCTAACTAATCGTTCTTCTTTCTTTCTTTCTTTCTTTCTTTCTTTCTTTCTTTCTTTCTAATTATCTTTCTTTCTTTCTTTCTAACTAATCTTTCTTTCTTTTTACCTAATCTTTCTTTTTTCTTTCTTTCTTTCCAACTAATCTCTTTCTTTCTTTCTTTCTTTCTTTCTTTCTTTCTTTCTTTCTTTCTTTCTTTCTTTCTAACTAATCTTTCTTCTTTCTTTCTTTCTTTCTTTCTTTCTTTCTTTCTAACTAATCTTTCTTCTTTCTTTCTTTCTTTCTTTCTTTCTTTCTTTCTTTCTTTCTTTCTGTATTTCTAACTAATCTTTCTTCTTTCTTTCTAACTAATCTTTCTTCTTTCTTTCTAGCTAATCTTTCTTCTTTCTTTCTTTTTTTCTTTCTAACTAATCTTTCTTCTTTCTTTCTTTCTTTCCTTCTTTCTTTCTTTCTAGCTAATCTTTCTTCTTTCTTTCTTTTTTTCTTTCTAACTAATCTTTCTTCTTTCTTTCTAACTAATCTTTCTTCTTTCTTTCTAGCTAATCTTTATTCTTTCTTTCTTTTTTTCTTTCTAACTAATCTTTCTTCTTTCTTTCTTTCTTTCCTTCTTTCTTTCTTTCTTTCTTTCTTTCTTTCTTTCTAACTAATCTGTCTTCTTTCTTTCTTTCTAACTAACTAATCTTTCTTCTTTCTTTCTTTCTTTCTTTCTTACTAATATTTCTTCTTTCTTTCTTTCTTTCTTTCTTTCTTTCTTTCTTTCTTTCTTTCTAACTAATCTGTCTTCTTTCTTTCTTTCTTTCTAACTAACTAACTAACTAACTAACTAACTAACTAACTAACTAACTAACTAACTAACTAACTAACTAATCTTTCTTTCTTTCTTTCTTTCTTTCTTTCTTTCTTTCTTTCTTTCTTTCTTTCTTTCTTTCTTTCTTTCTTTCTTTCTTTCTAACTAACTAATCTTTCTTTCTTCCTTTCTTTCTTTCTTTCTTTCTAACTAATCTTTCTTTCTTTCTTTCTTTCTAACTAATCTTTCTTTCTTTCTTTCTAACTAATCTTTCTTCTTTCTTTCTTTCTAGCTAATCTTACTTCTTTATTTCTTTCTAACTAATCTTTCTTCTTTCTTTCTAACTAATCTTTCTTCTTTCTTTCTAGCTAATCTTTCTTCTTTCTTTCTTTTTTTCTTTCTAACTAATCTTTCTTCTTTCTTTCTAACTAATCTTTCTTCTTTCTTTCTAGCTAATCTTTCTTCTTTCTTTCTTTTTTTCTTTCTAACTAATCTTTCTTCTTTCTTTCTTTCTTTCCTTCTTTCTTTCTTTCCAGCTAATCTTTCTTCTTTCTTTCTTTTTTTCTTTCTAACTAATCTTTCTTCTTTCTTTCTAACTAATCTTTCTTCTTTCTTTCTAGCTAATCTTTATTCTTTCTTTCTTTTTTTCTTTCTAACTAATCTTTCTTCTTTCTTTCTTTCTTTCCTTCTTTCTTTCTTTCTTTCTAACTAATCTGTCTTCTTTCTTTCTTTCTAACTAACTAATCTTTCTTCTTTCTTTCTTTCTTTCTTTCTTACTAATATTTCTTCTTTCTTTCTTTCTTTCTTTCTTTCTTTCTAACTAATCTGTCTTCTTTCTTTCTAACTAACTAACTAACTAACTAACTAACTAACTAACTAACTAACTAACTAACTAACTAATCTTTCTTTCTTTCTTTCTTTCTTTCTTTCTTTCTAACTAACTAATCTTTCTTTCTTCCTTTCTTTCTTTCTTTCTTTCTAACTAATCTTTCTTTCTTTCTTTCCTTCTAACTAATCTTTCTTTCTTTCTTTCTAACTAATCTTTCTTCTTTCTTTCTTTCTAGCTAATCTTACTTCTTTATTTCTTTCTAACTAATCTTTCTTTCTTTCTTTCTAACTAATCTTTCTTTCTTTCTAACTAATCTTCCTTTCTTTATCTCTTTTTAAACTAATCTTTCTTTCTTTCTTTCTTTCTAACTAATCTTTCTTCTTTCTTTCTTTCTTTCTAACTAATCTTTTTTTTCAGTGAAACCAATCTTTCTGTATATCTATCTAATCTTTCTTCTTTCTTTCTTTCTTTTTTTCTTTCTTTCTAACTAATCTTTCTTCTTTCTTTCTTTCTAACTAATCTTTCTTTCTTTCTTTTTAACTAATCTTTCTTTCTTTCTTTCTTTCTTTCTTTCTTTCTAACTAATCTTTCTTCTTTATTTCTTTCTTTCTTTCTTTCTAACTAATCTTTCTTTCTTTCTAACTTTTCTTTCTTCTTTCTTTCTTTCTTTCTAGCTAATCTTTCTTCTTTCTTTCTTTCTTACTAATCTTTCTTTCTTTCTAACTATTCTTTCTTCTTTCTTTCTTTCTTACTAATATTTCTTTCTTTATCTCTTTTTTAAACTAATCTTTCTTTCTTTCTTTCTAACTAATCTTTCTTTCTTTCTTTCTAACTAATCTTTCTTTCAGTGAAACCAATCCTTCTGTCTATCTAAACAATCTTTTCTTTTCTTTTCTTTTCTTTTCTTTTCTAACTAATCCATCTATCCGACTTCAAACTACTTTAAACTTCTTCAAACTCTCTGGTCCGGCTTTCTCAAGCCAACTTAAAGTTTGTCTCATCAAACTTTTTTTCTAGTTCCTATTTTGCACCCGCGCAAAGCGGACTTTTCCCTCCACAGACGCACGTCGGTTAACTAAGAAATACACTTGCGCTCCCCGGGCGGTTCAGCGCAAAGAGGAGGCGTGTTCCGGCGCAAACTTTCCCTCATGCTATTTTGCTGTTCTATAAAACAATTGCGCCACTGACCAGAAAAAGCCTAGTCTAAAGTCAGTGGCGCGTTGTTCATTATGCTATTTTAAGCGCGCATGCTTGGCCATAATGTAGCGGGTGCACAACGCGCATACACTTTGATTCTCTCATCAACACAGATGCAGCAGTTTTTATTTTTGCAAATCATACATTATAACAAGGAAAAATATTAACACATGAGGGAAATCATTGTGGTGTCCCTGAAAATTTTGTTTTTTTCCTCCCACGCCTGTTTAACCGACGCTGATTTGTATGGGGATGGGAGAAACCCACCCACGATAGATAGATACATATATAGATAGATAGATAGATAGATAGATAGATAGATAGATAGATAGATAGATAGATAGATAGATAGATAGATAGATAGATAGATAGATAGATAAGTCTGATTTGAACGTTGAATTTCTTGTTATTTCTGCATGCATTCTCAGACAGTCAATAAACAGTGCCGTCTGAGGGTGTTACTGCATGAGGGTTTATGCCATAGTTTACAGGTGCACGCAAAACACGCAATACAACGTCACTTCTCTGTCTTTCACGGCCCTGACGAGAACGTTGCTCTCCTCGGCTGTGAACGCTCCTGGCGCGCGCCTGGTAAATCCGCCGTTATAATAGCAATCCGCTATGCAACATGCGCACCTGCTCTTAAAGGGAATGTGAGATGACGCTCTGATTGGTTTATTCCACGTTACGCCCAAACCACACCTATGAATAATGAAGCTACTTCAGACCAACCTCTTTTAGATTTGCGCCAGGCGCAAGAGGCATTTATCCCGCCGGGAAAATAGCAACAGCGCCGGGATCCGCCCACAAAGTTACTTGCGCTTTGCGCTTTGACACTTGCGTTTCAGATCGTTAAAATAGGGCCCCATGTCTGCTAGCACACTCAAGGCGGACATGTTGACAATTTTTGTGTGAATTTGTCCATTAAAGCGCAAGACTTAAAAGAGAACTCAATACTTGAATATTTGAGACCTGTTTCGGATGAGTGTGTACACACACACACACACACACACACACAAAGAGTTCTCTTTCGCATCTTGCTCTTGAATGTTTAAATTGGCAAAGCTTAAATGAGTTTAGTTTAACCACAGCTAGCAGCGTGTGCAGTTCAGGCCTGTGTTCGTGCGCTGACACCTGCGTGATGACGGCGTAAAGGACTGGTCGTGTTCAAGCAAACGGCACTCGCATTGAACAAAGTTTACTAAGAACTACCGGTTTGTTCACGTTTGCTTGATTATCGCTGTTGTAATGTATTGTTGGGGAGCCATGTGGATCCATCAACAGAAACATACATTAGCAGAACTAATATTAAACATTAGCAGTCTGTTTTACGCGTTGTTATTTTCAACAAAGCCGATCATAGATGCGTCATCAGATTTTAGATCAACCGCGGTGAACGTGCGTGCGAACGGTGCGGTTCGATTTTTTCCCGAGAACCGCTACACCCCTGAACCGGAGCCTGATGAAAGCGGCGGAGCGACTCACTGGTTGTTCCTGTGACGTGGGCGGAGCTACTCAGAGCTCCACTATTGGTGGTCACAGTGATGGTGTAGGAGTGTCCAGGCGTCAGGCTGCTAAAGCTGCACCGCTGCACGTCTCCAGCTAATGTCCTTCTGTCCACAGTGGAGTCTGCGTCCCTCAGCAGGACGGTGTAGTCGTCCCACTCGCCCACAGGACGGGTCCACACAGCGCTCAGAGACGTCTCGCTACTGTGACGGAGAGTCAGCGACTGGACGGGCCGGGGAGCTCAACAGAGGAACACAGAGATACATTACAATCTATCTTGCATGGTATTTAGAATACATACAAATGTCATTTACGTCTTTTAGTTTTGACAAAAGATTTAAAGCACCGTTTTTAAAGAGTGCGCATGTGCGAACGTGCTCTATGTGAGAACGAGCCGATGATTGAATCCGGAAATAAAGTTCAAATCTGAAAAAAATGAGAACTAGTCCTCAGATGTTATATCCGTATTTTATAACAAAACATCTAGCATTCATTCGATCTCAAACAGATTAATTGAAAGTAGTTATTATAACCCACACCATGCGTGACATAATTAACCAACGTGGTTGATTGACCAATTTGCGACATTACAGTTTCGGGAAACAATCGGGACTAGCTAGCTGATTTCTTCCACGATACATCGTACTATGATAGTGAAGCAGCGAGTTACAGCGGTGAACGGGGAACACACCCCGGGTCTCTAGATATGGGCACTGTTCAGTGTGATACAGTTAAATATGAGTGAATCTGTTCAGCATGTTCAGTAAGGTTGGGATTCAGCTAGAAAAATAATCTATTCTTCAGTTCTGAAGCATTGTGTGTTCATAGACCAGTCCAATTTATTTTTCCTACTATGGAAGTCAATGAGTCCAGTTAACTGGGTGATTACTGACATTCTTCAAAATATCTTCCAGAAGAAAGAAATTGAGGGTGAGTATATGATGACAGAATTTTTATTTTGAAGTGAACAATTCCTTTAAGTTCACTTAAATGGCCTTTTATTTTAATAATATTACATTATCTGCAAGTACAGTGTTTAAGAAATATACTTATAATACGTGAAGTACACTAAAAGAGCACATTCAACAGAACTAAGCACATTTCTTAGGCCCCTGTTGGCTAGTGCAGTTTCAGTGCAGTGGTTGAATCAGTCACACACCTAGTCTCCCGTGGCAGTCTGCGGTCGAGCTCAGACCTCCGCTCTCCACACTGACGGACGCCCGGTACAGCCGGCCCGGAACCAGAGTCCAGTTAGTGAAGCTGAGCTCCAGCACACTCCTGTCAGCGGTGAGGTTCGCCAGCACAGACGAGCCGTTGAACAGCAGGATCCGGTAGACATCCCAGCTGCCGTCAGGAGGAGACCAGGACAAGCGCAGGAGCTTCTCGTTCAGGGGCTCCAGCTTCAGATGAGCCGCCAGTCCAGGAGCTGATGAGCAACACACACACACACACACACACACACACACACACACACACACACAGAGTGTCTCCGTTTATTTCTGTCTACCAACCACTGGCTCTAACACGCTATGCTCTAAAAACTGTGATGTTTCTAAAACAATAAAATTGTAATTAGAATGTTTTAAACAACGTTTATTTTTAATATTCCAAGAACATTCACCTAATACCAATGACATCAAAAGGACGTTCAGAGAATGTTGTTCTAAGAACATTATGATAATATTCATCTAGTACATTCATCTCTACATTATAAGGATGTTACAAAAATGTTAGCAGAACGTTCATCAAGTAAAAACATCATAAATATATTCCAAGAACATTGTTCCAGGAGTATTTTCTCAACATCATAAGAACGCATATCAAATATTAATAATGTTATCAGAACGTTTCATCTTAACCATTACAAAATGTTTCCTGTTAGTTGACAAGGCAATAAATCATTTGTTATTCAGATATGCATATGTCATACAGTATCTATAGTGGTAAGTGGTTTTAAGTGGTTTGTGTCTGCCAGCATGTGCAATGCACAGCTCGTGCTCATGTTTCTTGCCTGTTCTTGCAGTCGTCCTGCTCTCAGCTGTTCGTTCTCCACTCTTCGTCTTCACCGACACCTGGTAAACGTGTCCGGGTGTCAAGCCTCTGAAGAGCCAGTGAGAAGCGTCTGGAGGAAGGGTGAGGGCCGGGTCAAAGGAGCCAGAGTGAGACAGAAACAGCTGGTAGCTCTCCATGTGTCCGACTGCAGGAGTCCAGACGGCTTCGAGAGAGTCCTGGCTGCCTTTGCTCTGCAGAGTCAATGATGTGACGGGAGCAGGATCTACAGGAATGACAAGAGTAAAAAATGTGACAGAAGCAGGATCTAGAGGAACGACAAGAGTCAATGATGTGACAGGAGCAGGATCTACAGGAACGACAAGAGTCAATGATGTGACGGGAGCAGGATCTACAGGAACGACAAGAGTCAATGATGTGACGGAAGCAGGATCTAGAGGAACGACAAGAGTCAATGCTGTGACGGGAGCAGGATCTACAGGAACGACAAGAGTCAATGATGTGACGGGAGCAGGATCTACAGGAACGACAAGAGTCAATGATGTGACGGGAGCAGGATCTAGAGGAACGACAAGGGTCAATGATGTGACGGGAGCAGGATCTAGAGGAACGACAAGAGTCAATGATGTGACGGGAGCAGGATCTAGAGGAACGACAAGAGTCAATGCTGTGACGGGAGCAGGATCTACAGGACGACAAGAGTCAATGATGTGACAGGAGCAGGATCTACAGGAACGACAAGAGTCAATGATGTGACAGGAGCAGGATCTACAGGACGACAAGAGTCAATGATGTGACAGGAGCAGGATCTAGAGGAACGACAAGAGTCAATGATGTGACAGGAGCAGGATCTACAGGAACGACAAGAGTCAATGATGTGACAGGAGCAGGATCTAGAGGAACGACAAGGGTCAATGATGTGACAGGAGCAGGATCTAGAGGAACGACAAGAGTCAATGATGTGACGGGAGCAGGATCTAGAGGAACGACAAGAGTCAATGATGTGACGGGAGCACGATCTAGAGGGAACGACAAGAGTCAATGATGTGACGGGAGCAGGATCTAGAGGAACGACAAGAGTCAATGCTGTGACGGGAGCAGGATCTACAGGACGACAAGAGTCAATGATGTGACGGGAGCAGGATCTAGAGGAACAACAAGGGTCAATGATGTGACGGGAGCAGGATCTAGAGGAATGACAAGAGTCAATGATGTGACAGGAGCAGGATCTAGAGGAACGACAAGAGTCAATGATGTGACAGGAGCAGGATCTAGAGGAACGACAAGAGTCAATGATGTGACAGGAGCAGGATCTAGAGGAACGACAAGGGTCAATGATGTGACGGGAGCAGGATCTAGAGGAACGACAAGAGTCAATGATGTGACAGGAGCAGGATCTAGAGGAACGACAAGAGTCAATGATGTGACGGGAGCAGGATCTAGAGGAACGACAAGAGTCAATGATGTGACGGGAGCACGATCTAGAGGGAACGACAAGAGTCAATGATGTGACGGGAGCAGGATCTAGAGGAATGACAAGAGTCAATGCTGTGACGGGAGCAGGATCTACAGGACGACAAGAGTCAATGATGTGACGGAAGCAGGATCTACAGGACGACAAGAGTCAATGATGTGACGGGAGCAGGATCTACAGGACGACAAGAGTCAATGATGTGACGGGAGCAGGATCTAGAGGAACGACAAGAGTCAATGCTGTGACGGGAGCAGGATCTACAGAACGACAAGGGTCAATGATGTGACGGGAGCAGGATCTAGAGGAACGACAAGAGTCCATGATGTGACAGGAGCAGGATCTAGAGGAACGACAAGAGTCAATGATGTGACGGGAGCAGGATCTACAGGAACGACAAGAGTCAATGATGTGACAGGAGCAGGATCTAGAGGAACGACATGAGTCAATGATGTGACGGGAGCAGGATCTAGAGGAACGACAAGAGTCAATGATGTGACAGGAGCAGGATCTACAGGAACGACAAGAGTCAGTGATGTGACGGGAGCAGGATCTAGAGGAACGACAAGGGTCAATGATGTGACGGGAGCAGGATCTAGAGGAACGACAAGAGTCAATGATGTGACAGGAACAGGATCTAGAGGAACGACAAGAGTCAATGATGTGGAGGGAGCAGGATCTAGAGGAACGACAAGAGTCAATGCTGTGACGGGAGCAGGATCTAGAGAACGACAAGAGTCAATGATGTGACGGGAGCAGGATCTACAGGACGACAAGAGTCAATGATGTGACAGGAGCAGGATCTACAGGACGACAAGAGTCAATGATGTGACGGGAGCAGGATCTACAGGACGACAAGAGTCAATGATGTGACGGGAGCAGGATCTAGAGGAACGAAAAGAGTCAATGCTGTGACGGGAGCAGGATCTACAGAACGACAAGGGTCAATGATGTGACAGGAGCAGGATCTACAGGAACGACAAGAGTCCATGATGTGGCAGGAGCAGGATCTACAGAAACGACAAGAGTCAATGATGTGACGGGAGCAGGATCTAGAGGAACGACAAGAGTCAATGATGTGGCAGGAGCAGGATCTACAGGAACGACAAGGGTCTTTGATGTGACAGGAGCAGGATCTACAGAACGACAAGGGTCAATGATGTGACAGGAGCAGGATCTACAGGAACGACAAGAGTCCATGATGTGGCTGGAGCAGGATCTACAGAAACAACAAGAGTCAATGATGTGACAGGAGCAGGATCTACAGGAGCGACAAGAGTCCATGATGTGGCAGGAGCAGGATCTACAGGAACGACAAGGGTCAATGATGTGACAGGAGCAGGATCTACAGGAACGACAAGAGTCAATGATGTGACGGGAGCAGGATCTACAGAACGACAAGGGTCAATGATGTGACAGGAGCAGGATCTACAGGAACGACAAGAGTCCATGATGTGGCAGGAGCAGGATCTACAGAAACGACAAGAGTCAATGATGTGACAGGAGCAGGATCTACAGAACGACAAGGGTCAATGATGTGACAGGAGCAGGATCTACAGGAACGACAAGAGTCAATGATGTGACAGGAGCAGGATCTACAGAATGACAAGGGTCAATGATGTGACAGGAGCAGGATCTACAGGAACGACAAGAGTCAATGATGTGACGGGAGCAGGATCTAGAGGAACGACAAGAGTCAATGATGTGGCAGGAGCAGGATCTACAGGAACGACAAGGGTCAATGATGTGACAGGAGCAGGATCTACAGGAACGGCAAGAGTCAATGATGTGACGGGAGCAGGATCTACAGGAATGACAAGAGTCAATGATGTGGCAGGAGCAGGATCTAGAGGAACGACAAGAGTCAATGATGTGGCAGGAGCAGGATCTACAGGAACGACAAAGTCAATGATGTGACGGGAGCAGGATCTAGAGGAACGACAAGAGTCAATGATGTGACGGGAGCAGGATCTAGAGGAACGACAAGAGTCAATGATGTGACAGGAGCAGGATCTACAGGAACGACAAGAGTCAATGATGTGACGGGAGCAGGATCTACAGGAATGACAAGAGTCAATGATGTGGCAGGAGCAGGATCTACAGGAACGACAAGAGTCAAGGATGTGACGGGAGCAGGATCTACAGGAACGACAAGAGTCAATGATGTGGCAGGAGCAGGATCTAGAGGAACGACAAGGGTCAATGATGTGACGGGAGCAGGATCTACAGGAACGACAAGAGTCAATTATGTGACGGGAGCAGGATCTAGAGGAACTACAAGGGTCAATGATGTGACAGGAGCAGGATCTACAGGAACGACAAGAGTCAAGGATGTGACGGGAGCAGGATCTACAGGATGACAAGGGTCAATGATGTGACTGGAGCAGGACCTACAGGACGACAAGAGTCAATGATGTGACAGGAGCAGGATCTACAGGACGACAAGAGTCAATGATGTGGCAGGAGCAGGATCTAGAGGAACGACAAGGGTCAATGATGTGACAGGAGCAGGATCTAAAGGACGACAAGAGTCAATGATGTGACAGGAGCAGGATCTAAAGGACGACAAAAGTCAATGATGTGACGGGAGCAGGATCTACAGGAACAACAAGGGTCAATGATGTGACAGGAGCAGGACCTACAGGACGACAAGGGTCAAAGATGTGACGTGAGCAGGATCTACAGGAATGACAAGAGTCAAAGATGTGACGTGAGCAGGATCTACAGGAATGACAAGAGTCAATGCTGTGACGGGAGCAGGATCTACAGGACGGCAAGGGTCAATGACGTGACGGGAGCAGGATCTACAGGACGACAAGGGTCAATGATGTGACGGGAGCAGGATCTACAGGATGACAAGGGTCAATGATGTGACGGGAGCAGGATCTACAGGACGACAAGGGTCAATGATGTGACAGGAGCAGGATCTACAGGATGACAAGAGTCAATGATGTGACAGGAGCAGGATCTACAGGACGACAAGAGTCAATGATGTGACGGGAGCAGGATCTACAGGAACAACAAGAGTCAATGATGTGACAGGAGCAGGATCTAGAGGAACGACAAGGGTAAATGATGTGGCAGGAGCAGGATCTAAAGGACGACAAGAGTCAATGATGTGACGGGAGCAGGATCTACAGGAACAACAAGGGTCAATGATGTGACAGGAGCAGGATCTACAGGACGACAAGAGTCAATGATGTGACGGGAGCAGGATCTACAGGATGACAAGGGTCAATGATGTGACTGGAGCAGGACCTACAGGACGACAAGAGTCAATGATGTGACAGGAGCAGGATCTACAGGACGACAAGAGTCAATGATGTGGCAGGAGCAGGATCTAGAGGAACGACAAGGGTCAATGATGTGACAGGAGCAGGATCTAAAGGACGACAAGAGTCAATGATGTGACAGAAGCAGGATCTAAAGGACGACAAGGGTCAATGATGTGACGGGAGCAGGATCTACAGGAACAACAAGGGTCAATGATGTGACAGGAGCAGGACCTACAGGACGACAAGAGTCAATGATGTGACTGGAGCAGGATCTACAGGACGACAAGAGTCAATGATGTGACGGGAGCAGGATCTACAGGAACAACAAGAGTCAATGATGTGACAGGAGCAGGATCTAAAGGACGACAAGAGTCAATGATGTGACGGGAGCAGGATCTACAGGAACAACAAGGGTCAATGATGTGACAGGAGCAGGACCTACAGGACGACAAGAGTCAATGATGTGACTGGAGCAGGATCTACAGGACGACAAGAGTCAATGATGTGACGGGAGCAGGA